GTCTAATGCATGTCTTGGTTAATTCTGTAAAAAGAAACTCAAATTCAAGAAAAAAAATTTAAGTAAAGAGGGTGACTAGGGCAAAGCAGAGGAAAAACTAGCAAGTTCTCCTTTCAAGGGTTTTCTTCAGGAAGTCCAAAGTTGTATGGGACAAAGAATGTTGGGTTTTATTTGCATTTATCTGACTCACTCAGAGATGTGCACTCACTGAGTCATGTGGCTTTTCTAAGATCCTCCAGGAAGAAAGCTCTGACTACCACGCTGAAGGATGGTTTCCTGAACTCGGCTCTAACTGGGAGCTCCCTGGAGAAGTGTGGTTTTCATCAGGGTCCAAAAGCATCCAGGAATGTTGGCTTATTGAGCAGGCCCTGCAGGGAATCCTATCTCCTGGCCTGTGCATGAAAGGCCTCAGCATTGTAGTGAGGAGAGGAAGGGGTGGGCGGACCCAGGCTTCACAGGGCTCTGGGAGCCATGCACTCTGGAGACTGGAGGCCTGGCCATCTCTGTGTGTGAGGGATGGCCTCTCCTTCCAGCTTTCATGCTGAAGCTCTCCAAGAGAGGTGCTAGCGCCAAGCACCACCAGCATATGAAGAAGACGGCTTTGACATGAACTCTAATCTTTTGTTGGCAGAAGATGCTAATAAATGCCATGAGCGTTTTTAAGGGCTGGGAGAGGAAAAAGTTAAGGAGTAACTGTTGTTCATTTGTAAGGGCACCTTGCCTCCCTTCCTTGCCCCTTCGGGGACATCTCTTCCTGGTTCCATCAGGTGAGCCAGGCAGTGAGCAGAGCAGAAAGAGCAGAGGCTCTGCCAAGAGGCAGATGTGACTTTGAGTGTCAGGGCCACTGCCCCAGTGATGTGACTTTGGCCGATTCACACTCTGAAACACTGCCTTCTTTCTGAAGTGACGCCATGGATGGAAAGTGACTTAACCAGCTGGATGCACCATACATGCTCAATACCAGTGAGAGAGCTCATATATGCTCTATACCAGTGATAGTGAACCTTTTAGGGCTTTTAAGGATACAAACAGCCCGCTGTGGTGCATGTACCACACGTCTGCCATCACTGCTCTATACTGATTAACATCCATCATCTTCCCTTCCAACTGTTTAAGAGATGGCTGTGTCTGTGTGTCTCAGCTGCTGGAAAAGACACAGACAAGGATACAGGCTTCCTAAAGCTGCCACTAGCAAACATGCTCTGTATACATTTGTGTTATGCTCAGATGTGAGCTAAGGTTTGTGCTGTCATAGAAATTACATATTGAAATGCCTGGAATTCTAAGAAGGTAGCATTTCCACTTTGATTTAGGAATGATCCTTTCTGGTGATGTGGTTTCACTAGCACTCTGAGATAATGGGGTTAGCAATTTCTGACAGAAAAGCTCTTTCAGAAACAAATCCTTGGGCTGGGGATTTAGCTCAGTGGCATTAGTGCCTGCCTTGCAAGTGTGCGGTCGTGAGTTCGATCCCTGGTACTGATAAAAACGAAAAAAGAAGAGACAAACCCCCCGCCCCCACAAAAAAACCAAAAACCCAAGTCCTCCAACAATGGCAAGTGGAAGAATATGAAAAGTGATTTTTCCTCTAGCAACTATGGTGGGTACAGGGAAAGAAGATGAGGTCGTCTGGAAGTGTGGGGCCCGAGGATATTAGCCAGGTCGGGGTGGTGCAGGGTTGAAGCCCTGTTCTGTCCTCTGACTGTATGCCCCTGAGTTAGCATGGAGCCAACTCTCAGTCTTACTCCCAAGTGACACAAGGTAGGACAGAGACAGAACACACGGCTGGTGCTTCCCCCAGAGCGTATCCATCTCATGATCATGCTGGGGAGGCCATGTCAGCTCCCTGGGACAGCGTTTGTGATGGGCACTGAGAGTAGTTAAATCTCCACGGAAGAGGCCCAGAACTATTCCTGATTGCCAACTGTTTTAATGAGGGTAATTCTCATGGCTCTTCTCTTCATGAGAGCTCAGGCTGACCTGTGAGAAATCAGGGCTCCAAGGAACTAACCACAGAAATTCTCCAGGGAAGCTCTAAGGGGAAAATGAAGATCAGAACAAAGAGAGTTTGTGCTTCACGAAATTTCAAAGTCAAAGAGCAAATCAGTGTTACTAAGGAAGTCATGTTGTTATTTAAAAATCAAGACAACATATGGCTCTAGAGACAGAAAAGCAAAATGACAGAAATAGCCTATCTTTGCTAAAAAAGTAACGGCAACACTTACAACCTGTTTAAGATTTCCCTTCCTTAAAAGATGAAATGTGAGTTACAGGTATGCTTTTTGTAGCATAAATAAAATCTTGCAAATGAATTTCTGTTCTATCTCATTTTCATTTCAAGTAGAATTAGATGACTTTTTGATCTAAAATAGTGGTCCTTAAAGTATAACTTACAACTGCCAGTTGTGAATTGTTAATGATCGATGCTAACTTTTATAGCAATCTGATAGTAATTTTTACATCTGCTGAATATTTAAAAACGGCATTCAAGATACTGATCAGAAAAAGCAGGAAAGTAATCGCCATGTGGAAAGAGTTGGTCAGGGTAGTGGGGACACAGGCGTCCATACTTACTGGCAGACTCGATGAACTTAGGGTAGGCCTCATATGTAATGAGTGGAATTGGCAGATCCCTGAAGTACAGCTTAAGTGCACCAGTGATAATGTTGATATCTTCATACATGTTCACAGAAATATCTGCTTTCTCACCATCTATCACAGATGTTAAAAGAAACAAAAGTAAATGCCTGGACTTACAGTACTGGTTTAATACATGGCATTTTTGTATCTGATTAGATTTTAAAGATATGCCAGGCATCCGTTTAAACATGGTCTTATCACAGAACCCAGTAACGCTCCCCTAGACATTTACCCAAATGAGTTAAAAATTTAGGTCCACGCAAAAACCTGTATACAATGTTTACAGAAGCTTTGTTCAACAAAAGCTTTGTTCATGATGGACAAAAAAATTGGTAGTGGCCAAGATGTTTTTTAATTATGGTATATCCATACAACAAAATTTTATTCAGCAATAAAAAGTAATGAAAAATCAAACCACGAAAAGGCATATAGGAACTTTTAAATGCATGCTGGTGACAGAAATCAGCCTGAAAGGGTTTCATAACATATGATCACAATTAAGATACTCAGGAAAATGTAAAAGTACAGAGATGGTAAAGAGACCTGTGGTTACCAAGGATTGGAGGGGTGGAGAAAGGAAGAAAGAGATGAACAAGGGATTTTTATGGTAATGAAACTGTCCTGTAACAGTAAATGGAACACACCCTAATGTTAACTATTGACTTCAATAATAATAATGTATGACTTTTGGGCTCCACTTATAATAAAAGCACTATAAAAGCACAATTTGAGGTATTAGTAAAGGGCCCTGTGATTATGAGAGACAGTTCTTTACTTTTTGTTCTAATTTTTTGAGAACCTAAAAGTAAAGTCCATTTAAAAATATCTACCCAGGCATGGTGCACACACAATCCTAGCAGTTAGGAGTCTGAGATGGGAGAATTGCTATAAGTTTGAGGCCAGCCTGAACTAAACAGTGAAAACCTGTCTCAAAAAGACCAAAAAAAAAAAAAAAAAAAAAAATTCAACCTTTTAAAAAATGCAAATACTTCAGCCTTTCAGAATGAACTGCGAATTCCACTGTGAGTGTCCACCTGGGGACTCATCTACAGTGGCAGGCAAGCCAGGACACAGTGCGCCTTCTGGAGACACAAGGCAGTGCAGCAGCTGCAGGGGCTCAGGAGGAAGCCTGAGGCACTGGGGAACAGTGTGTGTGTGAGGCTAACAGCCTGGAGAAGGGCAAGGGAGGAAGGCAGGAGTGACAAAGGCAGGATGGCCTTGCAAGGCTTTCCTCAGAAAAAAGTAAGCTTCCGTCTCCTCGGCCACAGCCTTCTGCCCCCTTATCTGTTAGCTTCTAGACCGATTCAGACCAACTATAGAGTTCAAGTTTAAACTTTCTAGGCTTCTTTGTTACTCTGAAATCTGATGGTTTAATGCTTACAACTAATACAAAAATATGAAACGTTTTTGGGAAGGGGATGATAAAATAATCACCAATGATTTCTAGACAAATAACGCGAAAAAAACCTCAGAAGAATTTGATTCTTTGGGCAAAGAGTAAGACTACTCTAAGGCAATGACTGTGATGTATCACACACCTCTATCAAAGGCCATCTTGACATCTTCAATTAGGTCACTGAATCCTGATACTCGGTATAGTCCTTCAGAATTAAGACCTGTAAGACATAAAAATAAACAGCTAGCATGAGAATGAATTAGCTTCCTGGGAATTATGCTTCCTCTTCAAATTTAAATTCCTCCCCATATTTCAGGCCGAGGAGTTAATGTGTCAGGAAAATAATAAATATATACAATTAGAAATCTTCTCACACTTTTTTGCTGAAATAAAATCATGTATTCACAGTTCTTTAATTCTGACCTACCATCACCTGCATATTTATAATTTGCCTCATCATGTTATCTAATTAGAGCAAATGATGTTAAGTCTCAAAGGAAATAATTCACCACCCCAATTACAACATGAATTCTTTTACATAACAGTGGACCAAGATAAACTGTATTACTAGGCCGTAGCAGTTTTTCCCCTGTTGGAAAGAATAATTAGGGTGCAGCTCTGGTTTCTGGCCTTGGATAATTTTAATAGGAGATTTATACCTTTGCTTCTTGAAGATGAAGAATTGAAAAATGAATCTGTCTCTATATGTCAACTTTTGCAGGCCTGAAGCATAATCCATGAATATATTTTTAAAGCATAATTTCTGTTTTGTTTTTTTGACACAAGGTCTCACAAGACCATGCTGGTCTTGAACTCACTATGGAGCCCAGGCTGACCTTGAACTTGAGGCAATCCTCCTGCCTCAGCCTTGCTAATTCTGGGATTATAAGCATGTCTCTTCATACCTGGCATTCAGCATATATCCTATATTTTAAATCAAGCTGTTTATTTTAATTCATTCCAGACTTTTAAGATCATGTAACACCTGAAACTAATCTCCCTCAAATCACTGGAGACAACAGCAGTACTGCACAGAGGCCCCCTCAGAGGCGCTGAGACTGCAGCGGCGGGAATGGAGACCACTACAGCCCACGTGGCAGTGCCTCACCTCTCGACTCAATCTCCCTGATGCACATGTCCACCACCATGGGCCGCTTAGTGATGTGCGCTTTCACGAGCGTCGTGAGGTCGCAGCTGTACACTTTCTTCACATGCTTCAAGTCTGGCTTGCAGTCATTGGGGACCATCTTGGAACACTGCTTATGAACATTCAAACCACAGTCTGAGAAGAATAAAAGGAGAAATTCACAATTATTTTCACAGTTGGGAGCACTGCAGAGGGTTTAGTTAAGCAAAAGGCATTTCAGCTGGGATGAGGTTTTAAAGTGAACTCGTGTTTAGCAGCTCTCTTGGGGTAGAACAGTATTTGCTTTCTTCCTCTCGGAAAAAGCATTCTGGGAAGCCAGAATTCTAGTTCATCCCTTTTTTCTTTCAATACTGAAGACTGAGCCCAGGGCCTTTGAACTGAGATACATCCCCAGCACTCCCTCTTTTATTGTGACACAAGGTTCGACTCAGTCACTAAGATGCAAAGACTGGGTTTCAGCTTGTGAGCTTCCTCCTTCAGCCTCTCAAAGTGCTGAGACTATAAGTGTGTGCACTACTGGCTTATCCACAAGGTTCTTGTGTTCTCCAAAATTTATGCAACGGTGTGACAGGTGTGGTCCAATGGTGTTCAGGTCATGAATGCTCTGTCCTTGTGAATGGATCAATGATAGCACAGAAAAGGCTTGCAGAAGGGGCTCACTCTGCTGTGCCAAATGAAGACAAAGCATGCACCTTCTCTTGCCCTTCTTTCTACCCTGCGAGGGGTAGTGAGGAGGGCATACCGGATGTGGCAACCTTGTATCAGGTCTTCTCAGACTTCAGAACTGTAAGAAAAATTTCTGTTACTCAGCCTGTGGTATTTTGCTATGATAGGATAAAACAAAGACAAACTGCAAATTTTAAATCAATTTCTGTTATATAAGAATTACATTCAGGAGCTAGAGATGTAGTTCAGTGGTAAAGTTCTTGCCTGGCAGTCACAAGGTCCTGGGTTCAATCCCAGCATCACAACAGAGAAAAGTAACAACAATTACAAGTCAATGTGTGGCCAAAGGCACACAATATAACATTTTTAATGTGAGCTGTAACTGTATTTCAATAGGTAAGAGCATTCAGGGTCATCTTAAAATTGTGCTGCTCCTATTTATATTTATACATAATCCTTTCTATATATGATTACAATTCATCTAATAGCCCAGAATAGCTGTAATTATTATTTGTTACCATGACTATCAGCTAATATTTACTGAGGACTCATTAATCCTATGCACTATTCCAAATGCTTTGCATTTACTATTTCACTTAAGACTCTCAATACTCTGTGACATAGGTCGTCCCATTTTATATCTGGGGAAACTAAGTGTATAGTGATAGGTTATCTACCCATTCAGGCCTGTGGGTGACTGTAGAGTCCACCTTATGTATCTCACAGGGAGTCTACCGAAGTTACTTCTTGGCATTTTCGCTAGGCTGTAATTTCTATGATGCCAGAACTCAAACATTTTCTGGTTAATATTTCAAGAAATTCTAGAAAGGATAAAGAGGAATACTTTTGCTCAATTAGACTGCAAAGTGATAAACTATAGCTGAATAAAACAACTAAAATAAATGTCATCTTCAAAAAATAATTTAAGTTCATAAATCCTTTATGCTGACTTCTTCCAAAACCAGTCCAAGTAGGAAATATGTGGTTTATAGTGGGTCTTTTTCTTTTTTTGTGGTACTGGGAATCAAACCCAGGGCCTTGATGCATCGCAGGCAGGCAGTGTAACATTGAGGTACATTCCCAGCCTTTTTAAATTTTATTTTTGAAACAAGAGTTTACCCAACGTGACATCAAACATGTCATTTTACCTGAGTCTCCTGAGTAACTGGAATTACAAGTATATACCATTTCGCCCATCTTGAACTACGTAATTTTTAATGATCCATCTTCAAGTTTACAGATTCACCCTGTCATCTTCATTTGACTCAGCCCATCATCCAGTGAGTCCATTTCAGTTACTTTATGTCTCAGTTCCAAAATTTCCTCTGGCTCTGTATTGTGTGTTTGCAGAGTGTTCCTAATTGCTCACTGAAGCACTTTTATTATAGCTGCTTTTCTTGTCTGACAATTTCAATGTCTGTGTCATCTCACTATTTGGATCTGTCGATTGTTGAGATTTTCCTGGTTCTTGTTACAATAAACAGTTCCAATCTGTATACTGGAAATTCTGAGTGGTTAAGAATATGGTTCCAATTAAAATCTTCAATTTCAGAAGGCAGTCAACTTTAGATTTAGAATGTGGACCATTGTACCTTGCAATTCCAGCATCAACTAGTTTGTAAAACTCTTGTAATGCTATTTTCCCTGCCTCACTTTTGATATCCAAATGGTGGATTCGACTTCACTTTCTTGATGGGGCGTCACTTATGACAGGCAGGATGGATGTCAGGATGGGCCTACAAACTCAGTTGGGGATAAGTACTGTTTTGCAATGAACTGGAGGGTGGGCACGGAAGCCAGAACTCTGATTATGGTCTCAACCACCTCATTTCTGCAAATCAGGGATGAAGACAGAATTCCACAGACAGATTTGGGGTGAGATGGTGCTGCTAGTCTATTAGAGTCCCACTCTATTTAGGGTATGAGTAAAAGTCAGGGGGCCACTCACACACTCAACCAAAGATGGGTGGTACTATATTACTGTAAGGTAGTGGTGGAGGCCAGGGTTGTCTCCTTAGATCTGCAAGTGTGCACCTCTGCCACTGTAGTGCGGGACTGGAAAATACGGCTGTGACTATGCAGCTTGCTGTAGCACTCACTGCGGAGAGGCAGCAATGTGGTTTTTGCCTTGGTGTTTCCATGGAGAATAGCAGGTACGGTTAGAACAGTAGGTACAGTTAGAAGGTTTCCACAGTGTGGAGCTACGCTTTTCCCGCTGCACTTGTGAGAAAAGCTGACTTTTCTGTTTCCCCAACTGTTGGCATTTATAGGTCATGGGCATCTGCAGTGCCCAGACACGGACACACTGGATACAAACACACACCACCAGGGAACTTGCTGCTGGATTGTTCCTCAGATCCTGAGGTCCCCATGAGCACATTCTTCTTCCCAACTCTCAGAATCTTTTCATAGTTAACACAAATACTTTGTTCAGGCTCTTTTGTTACAATTTCTAAATTTTAAATTTTTTTGTGCTGTTAGATGTTATAATTTCTAGAACAAGGTAAAAGAAATTTCTTTTTATCTTGTCCACAACTGGAAGAATTCACATTTTGTTTTAAAAGGGTAAAATTCAGTAAAGTGTCATAATTTAATAATAATGTAGATGTGCCTCAGAATTTAAGTGTGGACATACAGATCACAATGAGGTTGGAAAACAACTTATTTCGCAGATGCAGACAGTGTGGTGGAATGGCTAAATGACTTGAGTTATCTGACCAGACAAGTGACAGAACTGAGATTTTAACCTTGGGCTGCTGATGCCTAGCCTGCGCTCTCCCCACTGAGTCATATGCAGTCCTTTTCAAGAGCAGTACACAATGTGCTCTCAATGATTTGCTTCACTATTGAAGATGAATTTGCTGTTTGAAAACTCATATTTGATAATGTGTATTGTCCCCATTATTATGAAGAATTATACATACTTTAAAAACTGCTATATCTTACCAAATGAATTTTAGATCTATCTCTCTGGTAGGACTATTAAAAAGCAGCAGCCTAGTCAGGAATGGAGCACACCTGTGAGCCCAGCACTGGGAGTCTGAGGCTGGAAGATTGCTGTGAGTTCAAGGTCTGCCTGGGCTACACAGTAAGTTCAAGGCCAGCCTGAACTGAATAAAGAGACTGTTTCAAAACAACAGCAACAACAACAACAACAATTAAGTTATATCATGTACTGGTACAAATTCCCTATGATGAATATAATCATTATGCATACCTGAAATGTACTAATAAAAGTCATTCTCTTTGGGAAAAAAAGCAGTGATCATACCTAATCATTACATATTTTTGTCACATTCCTTCCCTATATATAAATCCGAGGTGGAAATCCAGTAGCAAGCTAGACAGTAAAAATTTGATGTATCTATATAATACCAAAACACTTGAATGGAATTAAAGATCTGATATTTTTTCCTTTGAATGTGAGGGCTCATTCCCATATTAAAGATTAGCAAGCTCCTAAACTTGTTTGTGACTCAGTAAACACTCAATAAAGTGGTGACTGAGCTCAGATTTAGGTATTTAGGGAAAGGAAAATGTTTTTTAAACTAACATGCTTTTATTTGAATGTAAAATTGTAGAAAAATAGATTCAAATTTTAGCAATAAATATCAAAGGCCAGACTTTTGGCTGGATTGTATATAAAGTCCTTTAGAAGACCATAAGATAGGGCAAAAATATTAAAATAAAGTACTTTTTTATACCCTTAACTTCACAGGGCAATATACCAGCCTTAAGCTCACCCTGAAAATTGCTGCCTCCAGGACTCACAGTATATCAATGCTTCAGCTTGCCATTAAGACTTTATTTGGTTTTCATACTTATTTATTAAAGTAATATAACTCTTATATGGTTCAATTTCTTCTAGAAAGGTCTACACTATAAATGGGGGAGAAAGTCTATAGAAGATTTCATTTGTTGCCTTCTCTTGGCTTGGTAGGTCATTTTTATGTTACTATTAAACTGCATTTCTCCTTCCCAATTTCTCAAGTTAGCAAGTAGAGAATAAATATATGAAAGGAATAAAAATTCAAATCACATATTGTATTTTCTTAATATATTCCTATTACATAGGCTACTAATATTAGGTTACCACAGGTTTTTCTGATGCTTGATTTCCTAAAACACCTGGATGGTATATATCTAAAAAGCATAGAGACTTTTCTTTTTAAGTGAATGGTTGCTATTATTCTCATTCTACTGACAGAATTAAGGGATAATATAATTATGGTAACATGTTTGAAAGGAAAACAAAATAATTTATGGTACCAGGGATAGAACTCATGACCTTGTGCTTACCAGGCAAGTACGTGAGCCACTGAGCTAAATTCCCAGCCCCTATTCATTCTTTTTTGTGAGTGAGCCAGCTTTTTTTTCCAGCTATGTGGTCAATCACTGAGCTATACTTCCAGCCAATAAGTTTTATTCTTGAATG